ATCCTCCTCCCGGCTTGTTTCTTTTTTTTTTTTTTTTTTTTTCTTTTCTCTTCTTTTCTTTTCTTCCTTTTTCTTTCTTTTCTTTTTTTAATATGAACATTTTCTTTTCCAGAGACTTTGAGTTTGGGTTTTGCGTGAATGTGCTCAGTTGTTAAAAGGGAATTGTCTTTGGCCATCAATCCATAATGCTTGGAATGTTTCCAGATGGCCACACTGATTTTCACTGTTCTGCTACACAATGTAGATTGTTTTAATGTTGGGCTGGGCTGTCATTGGGACGCTTTCAGAGATAAAATAACTTTAAACCATTTGGCTTTTCTTATCTTTCATTTCTCATTATTTTAAATCTCTACCATAGCACTCACAGGAGCACCCTACAGTTTAGAAAAAAGAAAGAAAGACAAATACACATACAAATACCTTATAGACTCATATTTCTCAGCAAGATTCTCTTTCCAAGAAATGTTATCTTTTTGATAAGTGTCCCTTTGTGCTTCTAAAAAAGTTTGAAATTTGATAAGAGTGATAAAGAGCCATTATGTGTATCCTTGAAACAAATAGTAGGTGAGCTATAATTTTTTTTTTTTTTCACAAGTTGGCCTAAGAATGATAGGCCTAGAAATTAGAGATGGGACACAAATTTAAATTCTTATAAACCTTTAACTTCTATTTGAAAAGTAAGCAGAAAAAAAAATAATCAAAAAATAAGCAGACAAATAAACCTCTTAAAAAGTTTGTACATCCAGGAAGAATGCCTTTTGTCAATGGATACCTAAGTGTTCTTTACTTTGTGCCTGTATTAAGTTCATTAATCCACTTACACAAACACTCAGATAGCTATTCCTTGTTGCAATTTTTCTGTTCAGTATCCAGGTCAAATTATGAAAAGTAAAACCCTTGGAGAGAAAGAATCTATATATTAACTTTGTAAGTAATCCGAACTTAGAAAAACAGCATGGCCTTACCAATGTTCTGACCCTACCCAATTTTCAACCCCTTGGTTCTTTTGCTCACATCTCTGTTTTATTTGACTGCTAGACTGTTAAGAATTCTTAAGGAAGATAACTCACATGACTCACAAATGTAATCCCCACACGATCCAGAACTGTTCCTCAACCATAAGGAAAAGGGAGGCATTTAATATTTTTTTAAAAAAAGCATCCATTTTATTTTATTTATTTTATTTTTTTTTCATTATACTCTTCTCTTTATTGTTCTGTATTTTTGAAAATTTCCATAATAAAATAAGTTTTTTTAAAATGAGAGCTTTGTTTTGATAGAGCTAGATTATAAAACATTGAAAGATCTTTTTTTAATGAAGACTTCCAAGCGGAAAAAGAGAGTTTGTGACGGACTATTAGTTGGTACATCAAACCTTACAAGTTACTTAAAAGCTGACAAAGTAAAATATTTTTTTAAATAGGGCACCAACTGCTGGATGTTACTATGTCAACAGAAGACCACTAAAAGCTGGAGGTTTAAGTAAAAGCAGAAAAGTTATAGACTGAACTTTGATCCAGGTAAGAGTGTGGGCTTCGGAGTTCGCCGAATGGAGGCCTGTCTCCCAGCCCTGCGAGTCCTACCTACTAGATAAGTGTCTTCCAGCAAGTAACTTCTGGGCACCTCTGTTTCTGCATCTTTAAAAGCGGGGGGGAGGAAAGTCTGGATCACTAAGGCACTCAGTTCAGGGCCTGCCATGGTAAGTGCTCAGTGGACGAGTCCACTACCCTAGGTCATCAATCCTAAACGCATGCGTTTTCCTATCCACAGACACTTGAAGACCCGCACCACGAGCCACGGGAGGGTCGGCGCCACGGCCGCGGTGTACAGCGCCGCGATCCTGGAGTACCTCACGGCCGAGGTGCTGGAGCTGGCGGGTAACGCCTCCAAGGACCTCAAGGTAAAGCGGATCACCCCGCGCCACCTGCAGCTCGCAATCCGCGGCGATGAAGAGTTGGATTCCCTCATCAAGGCAACCATCGCCGGGGGTGGTGTGATCCCGCACATCCACAAGTCTCTGATCGGAAAGAAGGGACAGCAGAAAACCGCGTAGAGCATTGTTTTAACCAGCCCCTTCCTCCCGTCATTGTACTGTGACCGGGACAGAAGAAATAATGGGGACATGGGGGGTTTTTAAAAGAGGCAGATGGAAAAGCTTAGACAATTACTGTAGACACATAAGAGACATTTGTACGTTCTTAGGCTCAAAGTTTGATAAAGTACCTTTCCACGCAGCAGCGCTTGTGTGGTGATTGGCTAGGTTTCTCCCGTTGTGTTTTATACAAAAACGGAATTGATAAACCATTTTTTACAAAAAGAATTGGTCTCAAAACTGTTCTGTTCGTGACGTGTTGGAAGTATTTTGCTCATACTTTGAAATCTTTTAGATTTCAAATCGGTTATTCTATATTCAGGGTAATCTGAGAACAAATTGGGAATCTAGATTTACCAGGATTGATACCATATCACCGTGTGCTACCGTATAGTAGGTGCCATCCACTTGCGGTACAAACCGTCGTGTTACATACCCCAAAAGAAGGAAAAATGGCCAAGTAAAAAAAGCATCCATTTTAGTTCAGCTCTGGAACCAAACGATGAAGAAAAGGTACAAATGTAGGCTTTTTGGTATTTTTATATAAAATACCAAGTCCTCAGACAAAACGGTGCTAAAATTGCAGACAGAAGAAGATTTAGATAGATATCAGAATCCGATAGTCAAATGGGAGAGCAGAATTCAATGCTTCTCACCAAAATATATCTTTAAAACGTTTGTACCAATTATATTGTAATAGAGGGCATCTTCTTCTTTCATGTTTCTGTAGATGTTAAAGGCAAAAACGGTTAATACGTGAAAGAAATATCTGAAGGAACCGGGCCATCAAAAACATCAAGCTATCAAGGTTTCAAGTTTCTCAAAACCAATAGGAAGTAACATCTTATAAATCAAAAACTAATTATAAAAAGAAAATTACAAAATATAACAGTAGATCTACTTGTGATTTATTTCGACTTTCTCCTTTGATCCAGATAAGAGTTTCTTTTGTAGATCAGATTAAGCATCACAAGATTAATGGCACACTTAGACATGCATTTGAACATTTTTTCAAGCTAGTTCTTTTGGAGACTTGCTCCTAAAGGCTCGCCTGTAAATTGCCTATAACTGATTATGGTTACATAAACACTTAATAAATGCAGACCCAAAGAACTTTCTCTGTTGGTTCCTTTATTGTTTGCTCCTCCTCTCCACAAACGTCCAAGAGTTTTGGGTTCTCTTGTTATCCAGCAACCACAAGTCTAGTCCCAAACTCATATCCTTAAAATTATATCAGTTCCCTTTTTTCACCTAACTCCTAACAACTTTTCTTATCGGGCTTGGCTATTGATATCTGCTGAGTGATATTTTATAGTTTTCAAATCAATGCCTCCTCCAATTCCCAATAAAATTATTTCTTCTTTTATTGATCAATGATTTTACTTTGGGAACTAGAATTTGTGAGTCAAGAATTTATTCTTCAGGTACCAGAATAATTCTTGGGCTAAAGAGAATTTCAGAATTTCACCAGAAAGTTTCATGTGGAAAAGTGAAAAAGATGCAAAATATGTCACCAAATTTTACCACTCTTCTTTTTGTAGTAGCTCCAATTTGAACTATTCAAGCAGGCAGCATTACTTAGATGAAAAAGTGTGGTATGGGTGTATAGGTAGAAATTTTCACTTATAATTCCACTAGGGATACAACAAAGAGAACTTGCAGACCAGAGTTGGGAAGTAGAAACATAAAAAGAAAAAAAGGATTAAGATACAATCAGTTCATTTCCATCTAACACAGCAGGCTACATTAGAAATAATTTACTCTAGTTTCAGGTTTTTTTGAAGGAACTTCCATGCTGTTCTCCAGAGTGGCTACACCAGTTTGCGTTCACACCAGCAGTTCAAGAGAGTTCCCCTTTCTCCACATCTTCACCAACATCTGTTGTTTCTTGTGTTGTTAATTTTAGCCATTCTGACAGGAGTGAGGTGGGAGCTCATTGTGGTTTTCATTTGTATTTCCCTGATGATGAGTGATGTTGAGCATCTTTTCATGTGTCTTTTAGCCATTTGGATGTCTTCTTTGGAAAAGTGTCTATCCATGTCTTATCCAGCAATTGCATTATTAGGTACTTACCTAAAAGATACAAAAATACAGATTCAAAGGGGCACATGCACACCAGTGTTTATAGCAGCATAATCAACAATAGCCAAACTATAGCAAACTGTAGAAAAAACCCAAATGTCCATCCATTGACTGCTGAATGGACAAAGATGTGGAGTACACACACACACACACACACACACACACACGCAAGCACACACACACTCTCTCTCTCTCTCTCTCTCTCACGCCAGGATATTACTCAGCTATCAAAAAGAATGAAATTTTTCCATTTGCAACGATGTGGATGCAGCTAGAATGTATTAAGCTAAGCAAAGTAAGTCAATCAGGAAAGACAAATATCATTTGATTTCACTCATATGTGGAATTTAAGAAACAAAACAGATGAACTTATGGGAAGTGGCAGGGAAGAGAAGAGAGGAGAAAAAGACCCCTCTGTTAGTGCAGCTCTAGGAAACCACCTAAATATATTACTTCTTGTATTTTAAAACAAACATCTATTTAGAATTTGCTATGCATCTACCATTCTACTAATTACAGATAATGTAAAGACGATGATTGTTTGGGATTGGAAAGTTGTGGGGTGAGGACGATGACTGACTGCAAATGGTTGTGGAGTTTATTGATGGGGGACAAAAGGTCCTAAAATTAGATTGCGCTGATCGTGCAATCATAGGAATACACGAACAACACTGACTCAAACGCAGTATATGAATTTTACTTCAATAGAGCTGTTTAAAAAAATAAAACAGACTCTGGTTTCAAGCAAATCACAATGAGTTTGAGGACAGAGATAGGTAACTATGAGAATTTGTATTTAATTGAAGCATGATGTTGGCGGTCACACGGGAGTGTTTCTCACTAGGATGAAGTGAGGAGTGGAAGAAGTCAGAGAATGTTCTCAAAGAAGATGACAAGAGGGGCAAGTCACTGATAATGAAGAAGGGCCAAAGAAGAGGTGAGAGAATGGCATTCTAGTTAGGGGAGGACATCCTTACAGAGACAGACAGCTTCATGTCCAAAGATCTTAAGCAAGAAGAAACCAAATCAACATACACCAATCACTACTGAAGTGAAGTAGAAAAATGAAACCTTTAACAGTGAGAAATATACATGGTCAAACCTGAGTTGGCATGTCGGGATATTTAATTTGATTTCAGAGCATAACATGTCTTCTACTCTTCACAAATTTTCATATATTCATGTCTCTGAGAATTTCCGCAAGATAAACTCGATGAAAAAAAATTCCTTTAAAAACATTATTTTAAAACTCTTATCTACCATAGTTAGAGTCATATCAAATTTATCTGAATATACCATTTTTCTCAGGGCCCTTACGAAACATACCACAGGCTGTTTTTTCAAAGACATTCTCGAAGCACGTTTTGAAAAGATGGGTTAGTTCTGCTGGCTCGAGGCTTGGGTTCAGCTTGAAGGTCATGCCACATTGAGGCTAAGCTTTTTGGATGTGAGACCCAGAGATGTACCTCACCTCGTAAGTGAACACTCACATTTGATCAGTGCTAGATCTTTGCTACAAATATGGATCTATGCATGCTTCCTGGGTGCATAAGTGTGGTTTGTGCTTAAAATGCATGACTATGTTCAGTGAAATACGAAAACATGGTAAAAAAAATCTTATGTTAAATATCTGTTGTGGATTTAAAATGTATATGAGAGACACCATAGTCCAGAAATAAAGACCATACGTTTGAGAGTCAGACTAATTTGATTTTGAAGGCCTGTTTCTAGCTGTGGGCATTTGAACAAATTCCCTCGTCTTTCTCTGCCTGTTTCTTCATGTATTAAATGGTGATATCAAAAAACCTAGCCTTAGTGTTGTCATGAGAATTCAATAAGATGATGCAACGTGCTTGCAAAGTAGAGTAAAATTTTGTTTCGGGGGAAACAAATAAAAAGGTTTCTGATCTAATTTTTATTTATCAACTATTTTGATTATTGGGAAGTTATAGAGTAGGCAAATTAGACACTAAATGGCAGGAGGTTTTGTGTTCATGTTTTTTTTTTTGTTTGTTTCTAATAAATGTATGATACTAGAGAGTTTCAGAATGTTTCCTGGGTCAGATCAGTAGAGCTTGAATATGAGCTTTACCATTTACCAGTTCTGTATGGAGCATTTTATTTAAACTCCCTGTATAATACTTTTATTATCTGTAAAATGGGTAAATATTTAACTATAGTTGCTGCAGAAACTGAAAAAAACCACACTAAATGTAATATGGAAAAGCATGCAGTACTCATATGTGATTAAAAATGTGAATTTTTCATAACCTGCCCGCACCACAATGTGACGGTCTACAAGGAGTCCACATGCATGACCATCAGCAGAGGCATGAGAGAGTAGAAACAGACCCGCAGAGCTTCCAGATACAGGTTGTCCTTTCGGACACCAGCTTTAAAACAGCCACTCAAGTCACGTTCAAGAAGAAAAACGCACAATTTAAAGGTTTAACCAAGTGTGGAACGTAGTTCTCAAAATTCCAGAAAATAAAATTCCATTATTAATTCCACTTAAGGATCCACGGATTCATTTGGCAGTCTAACAGGCCCAACTGAAGAAGGCATGATTAAATTGGGAGAGAAACAAGAAGAAACTCTCCAGGGGCACCTGGGTGGCTCAGTCATTTGAGCATCCGACTCTTGATTTCGGCTCAGGTCATGATCCCAAAGGTCTTGGGATCAAGGTCTCCCTTGGGGTCTGAGCTGACAGTGCAGGACTGCTTGGGATTCCCCACCCCACTCCACCCCCACCCCCCCCC